CTCTCTCTCTCTCTCTCTCTCTCACCCCCTACTCATAGTACGCTGCCGAACAGAGAAATGCAATCCACCAAATTATTTGAGGGTCAACCATATTGCTTTAATGTTGAAACCAAATGCACCCTAGATCAGTACATATAAGTCCAACAACAAAAAGTTCAGGCAATGGCGAAGAAACAAAATAAAACTTTTAAAAGGGTATCAAAATGTGCAGTTTTGAGACCACCAAAAGGAAAAAAAAAAAAGAAACAAAACAACACGAAACAAATCTATCACATCAACCGATGGAGAATCACACTCAAAAGACTCTTCGATAGTACAGTAGTATCAAAGCTTAGGCACAAAGATACAAATTAAATTAAACAAAGTATTTTTATCTACATATTATAATTGTGTTGATGGGAAATTCAAGGTATGGGAGTTAAAGATATCGGTCTGTTTTTTTAAGCCGTATCAATGAAGTGTTTTATACATAATACTAACGTTATTGCATACAGCGGTTCATCTGAAATCCAGTTCAATAACCCGGGGGGGGGGGGGATTTTTACGAAGCAAGATAATATATAATATACTATGTTGGGTTGGAATACATTGGAGAACAATGACCATCTGCAAATGCCATCCTCCGGTGGTTGCAGTGGTAGTAACGTCATTATATGACTGAAAGGAGTATCCAAGACATTCAAGCCAGTAGTTTTCGGTTACTTGACCTCTTATGACAAAGGAAATCGTGAATATCTTCTATAGTCTAATAATAAAATATGAGGTTAATGCTACGTTCTTGATTTTGAGAGCGAACAGAAAATTATATACAATAGATCTAAATAGAAAGAAGGTACGAAAATCTCAATAGCACACAAAACTGACCATAATAATCCCATTTGAAATATATATGAGTAATTCCAGTCTTGAACGGTCACCCAGTACACTCAGGAATTTTATGATAATTGCAGGATTTTCAAACTCAGAAATAATGCCTCATGAAATTAATGTACATAGGAGATGTGAAAACGTCGCTTAATAGGCACAAAATTTCCTTGTTTCTATTTTTTTCCTCGCTCCAGTATTGATTGGAGCAAAACATGAAAATAAAACAAACGATCATTAAAGAACATTATTATAACCAAACACTTCTATTACATTGTATTTAAATAATCTACATCTACAAAATAAACGTACTGCACTCAATGGAACAAATGAAAGACGGGAGTATTCTAAGGTTGTCAGTGGGCGTGGTATAGAATATAACACAATGAATTAACAGTAAAGATGTGCTGAACCATGTCTGACTCGCAAACATACATATAATGAAAACAAAGAAAATAGAAGAGAGTGGGTGAGAGAGAGAGAGAGAGAGAGAGAGAGAGAGAGAGAGAGAGAGAGAGGGGGGAGGGAGGGAGAGAGGGAGAGAGAGGGGGGGCGAGACAGAGACATAAAGAGAAAACAGACAGACAGACAGACAGACAGACAGACAGACAGACAGACAGACAGACAGACAGACAGACAGACAGACAGACAGACAGACAGACAGACAAACAAGTGGATAATAGACTGCTTGACAGGCAGACAGACAGACCGACAGACAGACAGACAGAAATAATATACAAAAGAAATAAAATGACAGACAAAAAACAGAAGGGCAGTAACTGAGATGGGAAGAACAAACCTGACGTAAGCATTGACACGCAGAAGCACAAAGTCAGAAAGAGTGCTTGTAATTATCGAGCTGGAACGTAGAGGACCATTTACAGCATTCTGAACAACTTTCCTTTCATACGTTGAAATGGCATAACAATTAATCTAAACAAAACATGTTAGTAGAAGTAATCTCTAAGGTCAGCACTTATAACATGTAAGAACAAATACCTTTAAAAAAACGTGGAGATTTAAAATAGGGACAAACATGTTCGGTACATCTTGAATTTCATTATAATAAAAAATGCGAAAAACACGTTGTGCTGTGATGCATACACGTATTCCGTTGGGAAATGGGTTTTCAAAGCAAATGATGTTGCGTTTAATTTGCTTGTCGTGACTATTTAAGCAGGGAGGAGTCTAAAGTCCTTGATCTACACACTTAGTTACAGGATGGACGGAGTATAATATTTTTATAACACAAAAAAGGATAAAACGACTGAGAATTCATCATAATGTATTACTACAGTACATGTACATCTGTATATTTTCACAGCAAACAGACATGTTTGGGCACGCTTACTTCTCTTTCTATACACAGATATCTATGGGCATTAAGGCACAATGCGGTCACAACCGATGAATAGACAGCCAGTTTCTTTGAATTCGAAGGGAAAATGGGCAACAAAACAATAAATTATGCCTACTCAAGAAATAGTTTCAAGGCGCATACAATGTGAGTACTGATTAAACAAGTATTGGCCTATTTTCATACTAATTCTAACGACAATAAAAAAAAAATACATGCTTGAGGTGGACTAAAATATGATTCCTCTACCAGATGATTGCATTGCTTGAGAATTCTTCTTGGCAATGGACCAGCGACGTATTTGGTGAACTTGTTGGTAACGCTACGTTTTTCGTGTGATTACTGGGTAAACAGTAGAGAGAAACCAATGTTGTTCCTCGTCTGAGTAATCAAAAGTCGCTTGAATAGAATGAAAAAGTGTAGGGGCTTTCTTCTTCTCTCTGTTGGTAAGAGATCTGGAAAACCCGTCTTTTTGCTCACAGAAGTTGGCAAATGAAAATTTAGAATTATAGTTTGGCCCAAAGGTTTGTGCTGGGTCATGCTGGCTGATACTCATCGGGAAGGTCCGCCAGTGGAAGAGCACACTATGTACAAGACAATCGGGCCACACGACATATTGGTAAGGTTTTCAGCAACAATCATGTGTCAAACAATTCCATCTTATGGCGGAGGGTGTCAAAAGGTACATTCTGAAGTCAGCGCAGATGCAGGAAATAACAACACTATTATGATGTTAACAGAGAAAAAAAAACTATAGAAAAGCTAAGACCACTGTCCTGAGTGATCAAAATTACGTTGAAAAGGTACTTGGGCGGAGGGTTGGTAAGGGAGTGAGTGTCATTAAAATTGCACCATAGTCAAAAGAAATAAATAAACGTCAGCAGTAATAAATATAGCAACATGCCCTGTAATATTTTCCTTTTCAACAAGGAACTTAATTAATAGTTACACACGCGCCTTGAACCTCACTAAAGGAAAGGAAGCAGGATGATGTTCCCAATCTCACACCTGCATCAAATGACTCGTAATCTAACAGTATCTATGCAACTAACACAGAGCTCCCATCATTGTAACAATAGTTCTCACACTGCTGGCGAAAGTTTGAGAATCAAACTGTCTTTAAAAGAAGAAACAAATAAACGTTTCACACTCACGAGTAGGTTTGTGTCTACTCTACCTCATACCATGCCTTTGTACATCTGATATTTCATCAGCAGGTGAGTCAACAACGGGAAGTGAGTTTGTACTTGTTGTTGGGAGGAAGAGTAGTACTCGATAAGGGTTTAATGAAGAAAAATTCCGGTGGATAATTGAACAGGAAAGGACACACCTGTTCGTAAAGGGAAATGTCAAGGTATGGGCCTACACACGCCTTGTTCTGCTCAATGACACGCTTGTTATCAAAAGCATCCTGAATAACTCATCTTTCATTCAGTCTGCCCAGCTTAAAACGTTCTCTCGACAGTACAGACGGCCCTATGCGACCAAACTTTCACATCACAAGTCCGTTCCTGGGATAATCGGCTGCATGTAAGCGACGGGTGGGTAGTCACCAGATCCGAATCTGTTGTCAACAGGTACGTAGTTGTAGTCGTACTCATCCCTGTACACGGTACCATAATCGTCCGACTGCCAGCTGACAGGGCGTTGCTGTTCGGGACGTTGTTGTTGGCGGACGGAGCTCGGCGCTCCCCATTGGTTGCCGCGCCAGTCTTCCGGTTCCGGTTGATGTGCTTGCCACTCCGGTTGCCGCCTGTAGTCCCATTGTTCCGGCTCTGGTGCCGGTTCCGGGGCGCCCACATAGGGAGACTGGCCAGGATTTTGCCAACCTCGGACCCTGTTGTTGTAGTCGGCATACTGCTGTTGCTGCTGCTGGGGCGATTGCTGCTGCTGCTGCTGAGGCACCACCTGGTCCGTTGTCCTGTCCGGTCCGAAGGTTCTCGTGGGCGAAATGTGAAGCAGACGATCGGCTGGGAAGATAGGCCGGGGTTGGGGGTAACATTGGACAGTGGGTATTCGGGATGGGAAGAATGGATTTGAATAGG